TATCCCTAATTATCCCTAAGGTCAATGCTTCTCATCCAAGGACTCAAGGCACCAAACAACCTTAATATAAAGCTTCCTTCATTAGTGACTCAATTTTACAAAAAAAAAACAGTGAATAGGTGTTAGATCTTAATCTGCATACATCCCACTTCATTTTGTATTCACATGGCAAATTTCAGCTATCAAACGTATCAAATTGAAGGGGAAAATTAATCAAATACTTATCATATGGTTGCTTTGTATTTTGCAAACCTAAATACAATCTAGGACTCATGAAATGAATGGAAATGGGGCCAAGAGAGGGTTGGCTCTGATCCCACTTGTTAGGTGTTAGGTGTAAAGACCAGTCCCTTGTTATGTGTACTTTAAAAATTTCAATTCAAGTGAGTCTTTACACGTTTTTACACATGTTTGGAACGAAACTAAATCAATAAGGACCTAGTATATTTGAAAGGTGGCTATACAGATCATGCATTGTGTTATAAATTGAAGTTTTCTAGTGTGTCTATTTACAACTGCCACTTACAATTGAAAACAATAAAAAAAAGGCAATTGCAAATCAAGGACCTTCACTTGCTGCCATCTAACAAAATATTTTATTAATAAAAATCAGAAAATTTACAATAACAAATGAATCAAGAATAATGAGAAGCTTTTTACTGGAACAAGTTGCCTCGGATCACCTCCAAAGAACTTTGATACACTGCACTCTGGATCACCTAGACCGATAACATTCCGCTAACAATCCTTGCTGATTCTCCTTAAGATGGGAAACATTATCGTAATATAGAATATTAGATGAGGTATAAGAGAACCTAACCAAGAAAAGTCAAGCTTAAACACATTAGGACATACACCTTGATCCGAGGTCTATGCCAATTGTTAGATGGGATGTCCCACCGTGGGTTATTTTAGGTGCGATGAGCCACACTTAATGGGCTAGAGAACGAAAAAAGAGAGACAAACAAGAAAGGAGCATGTGGAGGAGAGACAAAGGAGAAGAAAATATGGAGGGGGAGAGAGAGAGAGGAGATAAAGGAGAAGGAAATGTGGAGAGAGAGAAGAGAGTCAAAGGAGAAGAAAATGTGGAGAGAGAGGGGCTTCTCTAATATTAAATCATGGGTTAGGACCCCTATTTATAGTGGTTATATATTAAATCATGGGTTAGGACCCCTATTTATAGTGGTTATGGGTTAAGGTTTTCCATCTTATTTGATATTCAATCTGGATAGTTGATCCCTATTGGTCTGTCGAGTGAAAAGTGGCTATTAGTCCTAATGTCCCATTACCTAAATCAACCATAATGATAGAGGAAAGGACCTAGAACTTTTATCCCTTAGATTTCATGATTCATTCTCTTTTAATGAAAAAATATAAGATAAATATCCAAAAGGATTTTTGTTCATCCTTATTAAAAATCATGTAGAAGCTTTACATAACTTCTATAACACTTATACAAGCTGTCCTAACTTTTCAAACTTCTTTCAAAATAATTACCCACTTAGCTTGGTCAAAGTAAGAAAAGAACAAGAAAGAGAGGGGCTTGTAGGCCTGGGACCCCTAGTGGGACCCACAGCCCAAACCCAATGGGCATCTAGGTTCTCTTCAAACCTAAAAGCCTCAAAAGGCAGGGATACTAAGGAGGAATAAAAATATTGGTTGTCTACCATCCACAAAGCCAGATCGTTGACCAAATAGGAAACCGTCACACAATATGAAAGTGGTTGCTAATCCCATGTAATCACCCTGTAGACCCTTTAAGTGGGTCTCAAAACGAGGTAAAAATTGAAAGTCCCCAAAATAAAATGATCCCTCCCCTTAAAATTAAAGGATTTGGACCTTAAGACACTCTCGCACCGGTGGTTTTTAAATTCCAACCTGGGTTTAAATGATATTAAACTCAATAATATCAAATTCGAACCAAGGTCTGAATAATATGGTCCAGAACTAGAAATAATTTGAGCTGCAAGCATCAGATCGTAGATAGGATTGCTGCATATAGTTGCACATTGAACGAGATCATTTAATCAATTCAAATCTCCCAATATATGGGATCTTTTTTAGTGGGAAAGTATATTGAGAGGCCATGTACTCTTAATACAAGGAGCTCACAGTCACTTACGTCCATCATATTTCAAATCGAATGGTTGTATGTATCAATGACTAGACTCTACATTCAAAAAAAAAATTTCGAACTTTGTGACACACCCCAAGCCATCAAATTTGACATTTAATGGCTAGTACCGACATCCTTGAACCAAAACTAAATGGTCTGGTAGTATACAATCCCTTTTTAATAGTGTTTGAACCATATAATGTTTAATTCAATTATACACTAATGCGTAGAAAGAAATCTGACCAAGCACGACATTAAATAGGCCAAATAAGGATTCAAACTCAAATAGGTGGTAAAATAAAGTCCCAAGGTTCATAGACACAACTTTGAAATTTTAGCCAAAAATTTGAAACAAACTTGGCCCTAAAAACATTAATTTCACCTCTTGAAAGATATAAATGCCAATCCCTTGGTCATTTGGGGGATACTTGGGTGCTCTTTTTGCAATTGATATCATGTCATGAGTGCTTGAGACACATCTAACTTCTCAGAGAGAAAGTGAGAGGGGGGCTTTGGTTCTAAAACCTAGTGTGAGAATCTTAACTTTAAGGGGCTTTGAGACTAAGTAATTGAAAAAAATAGAGCTCTAAAGTGAGAGTGCTTGGATTTGAGGGGCACTATCTAAGAGCAAAATAGCACTTGATTACGAGATTCTCAACATAATGGGGATTGAGATCAAGTAATCAAGATCTTTTTAAGGGCTCTTAATGCTTAAGTCAAGGGGGTGAGATTGAACAATCACATCAAGGGACAAGGACCGCTAGAAACCCTACGATAATCTCAACTATATAATGTAGAGCTCCTGATTAAGAAAGAGATGATGGCCTATAATTTTGAGCATAAAGTTTTAAGTGCATAAGACAATATCCAGAGAGATTTGAGAAACTTTGAGAGGTTAGAGAAAGGACTAGCTTTATGGTACGCCAAAGGTGAAGAATAGGCAAAGGAGAGGTTTGATCTAAGAGAGCCAATAATAATTTGAAAATTTATACAAAATATAGGTACATTAGGCATCACTGCCCTATTAGAGCCTTGATGCACAGGTTCATTGTGCATCACAGCCCTATTAAAGCCCGGATGCACAAAGCATCACAACGTTAATAAGGTTGTAATAGTGCATCACAGTTTGAATAGAGTGGTGATGCCCAAGAGAAGACACTAAGGCAAGTCTGGGTTGTGAAGGGCATTCTAGGTTTTATACAGAAAAATAATTGTTGGGTATGAATGTAATTCCTTAAAAGAAATTCATATTTTTAATTTTTTGACAACATAAGAATATTTTTGCTAATTTTCTTAATAATTTTCCTCTTTTTTGAGGTGGTTCTCAACAGTTTTATTATAAAATGAGAGCGTTATCATGAAGTGGTTGCTTGTGAGCTTCTCCTCCTTGAAGTTGCTTATGTCATCCCCTCATACTAATTATTCTTTATTTTTCTTCATTATTATGTTCATAGATATTGTGTTTTAGTTGTTTCTATTATTTGGGACTATTTTTTTTTGGTTTTTTTTCTTGTTTCTATTATTTGGGACATTAATTTTCTAGCTTTGCCTTGTTATGCTTTATTTTATTGAAATGTTTATAAAAATTGTTGGATTTGGTGTTATCCAAAGTCACCCACATAAAGAAATCTCATATTTTGTGGGATTGATTAAGATTGATCCATATTATATGGGACTGAGATTGATATTAATAAGTTTCTTAGTTAGTATGAACTCCTAATCTTATATATATGGGATGAAAGTACAGAGAATTTGTGTGCCCTATTTAGGTTACCATATGAGTTCCTCTAGAGAGAGAAGGAGCTAGAACATCCTGTGCATAAGATATAATTTTCCCTTAGAGAGAAGAAAACTTCATTTAGACAAAAACATTGTGCTGGTGCCGCTTTTAGACTACTAAAGAATTAGAAGCTTGTTTCTTTTGTTGTAGAGAAGCGGTTCCCATAGAGATTTGGGTTCCCATTCCCTTTTAATTAGAGAGAAAGTAAGTTTCACGTTGCTCTCGCGTCTCTATCTAGTGTTGTTGGTAATGGTTGCAAAAAGTAAAGAGAAGGAAGAGAGAGTGGTTTAAAAGGGTTTGCTCGACTTGGGTTTTTGTCGAGGTTTGTTCCAACATCTTTTATATAACTTTCATTGGTATAGTAGATTTCAGTTTGCCGTGCTCGTGGATGTAGCCCTCTTGGGCGAACCATGTAAATCTTTGTGTTCTTGTTGTATGTATTTCATGATTTATTTCTCATACTTTATTTGCCAAATATTAACCCATCGAGTTTAGAACTTCCGCGCACAACAAGTGGTATTAGAGCACTACAAGTGGTATTAGACTTGTGGCATCAACTTTGTCGATGCAGACATAGACTTCATAGAGTTGGAATTCTCTCTCAAAGTTCGTACTACATCGGATACCAACCTCCGCCCCTAACTCATGCTTCGGTGCTTTTTTTATCTCTCCAAGTTGGTATAATCGACCATTCGGCACGATGCCTGCAATGCTCGCCACCTTCTCAACAAAATCGATAAATATCAAAACACATATGAGATCTATACTACCCTCGCCTGAAGATCCACTCTAAACTATTAGTGATCATGTTCTTGCCAAAATAAAACAATTATAGATGGGAATTTTACATTGATTTCTTTGTGAAGATGAAACTACATGCACAAAATAAATAGATATACATTCTATTTGATCTTTGCACTATTAAGTGAGGTAGATTACAGTGGAATACTACTTCATGTTTCCTCTTATGTTTCGCCATTCTGATTGTCTGAGCATGTGATCTATTACCGAAGAAGTAGCACTTATTGTGTGTGGTGCATGATAGCCAGTCTTAGTCAATTAGAGTGATTAGAAAAACAAAATCGAGGTTTAGGAGTAACTGACCTTGGAATCTGAGGGCTTTGATGAGGTTGATTTCACAGTGGATGATTATGCCTTGCTTAAAGTACTTGAATAGGCTGAGGATTGAGCAGACCCCATTATTCTTCCATAAGGACTTCCACATTGATTGTCCATTGTTGCTTGGGCACTTGATGCTAGACCACAAACCGGATAGACTCTCCTCCAAACCCTCCAACTTCTCCCACTCAATTTGATCACAACCAAACAAACTTTAGTCAACCTCTAGCTCAGTTAACCTAAAGCAATGTTCAAAAAATCAAATCGGCCTATGTACTCGGACCATGAGCAAGGCAAGTTATTTATCGAGTATGAGTAACTAGGCTGAGTTCATGTCATGTTAAAAAAAAACGAATAACAAAAGAAAGTAAGGTATATATATATATAATAAGAATTTATTGGTAAACGACTTAGCTGCTGCAAGCATTTCCTTTCCTATATGTGTTAAGTCAATTGCCATACAGGTGATATCATATCTACAAATCTCTAAAAAAAGATTTGGGCTTCAGTTATGGTAGCATGGACTACAATTGCAATTAGGAATCAGGCTTGGGGTTGAGTTATTAATTGTAGGTGGTAGCAATGTTGCATCTCAAGTTTGATTTCTACCACGAAACTATTCAAAAAAATAAAAAAAAGAACACAATTGCCATTGTACAAGAACATTTTCCTCTAACAAATATTAACACTTTTCCCAAAACTTTCTTTGTTTTCCTTTTCGGAGTTAGACAGTTTCTATGTTAAAATTTAGAAAATCGTGTTCTTTTTCTTGTTTCCGTGATGGGGGAGGGAATTCGCGCCTAAGATGAAACTATGCAAAAATAAAATAAAATCTAGAAATTGTTGAAACACAGCCCAAGATCCAGATTATGGAGAAGAGCTTGTTAACCAACATTAGGTGTTCCCGGCCACAACCAATTCTACCTAAGAGCATTAGGTTGAAAATCACAATTGTGAATAAACCAAATCTGGTTAACTGTTTTTGGGAATTGGATTGAAACACAAATACCTCAATAGAATGGGCCTAGTCCATGTCAATTTCATTATAACAATATTGACCGGTGTTTTAAAACTATGATTAGTCGAGCAATTCACTCACCCACACATGGATCGTTGGATTGACGATCCGAATCGTGTTTAGATCGGTCCAAATTTTTTATTCATAAAATATTAAAAATAAAGAAAAACAATAAAAATTGAAATAGGGTTTTATGCGGAGAGGAATTAAAGACGACCTAAGAAAACATAAGATAAAACGTAAAAAAGAAATAATTGAAAACAAAAAACTCCTTTCCTTTTTTTTTCCTGTTTGGGGGGAAAGGGGGGATCAATTCCCATGTTGATTGATGATCCAGATCGAAAATAATTGGGTTTTAAAACACCACTAATGACTATTATAATTTGAAATCGGTATTTAAACATAAATTCTAAATTAGAGGATAAAACGGTAAAACTGGAAAGTAACCAAAAAAATCATTGACAAGCATGGAGAAACGTCTTAAAATTATATTATTTTATTTAAAAAAATGACTCTTTTTTACTTTAGTAGTAGCCCCATATTTTTTTTTAAGATAAGATTGATTATTTTAATTATTTGTGAAAGTAAGTGTTGTTATTTAGCAGGTGGGAAAGTACTTTCCACAATGGTCTAGTATTGTTTTGAGAAAGCAGCTTCATCCATAGTTAAGCACTTTCGATAAAGGAAATTTCCTTGTCCAGAAAGCACATTCGATGATGGAAATTTCCTTGTCCAGAAAGCACTTTCGATATTGGAAATTTCTATGATGGCTCTAAATCAATGTCCAACATTGACAATGAAATTTGAAATTCAAAAAATGATATACAGATCTTACGGATCTATGAGCACTTATTTTTAAGGCGAAATGGATGATATAGATAATTTGTTACAATATATACTATTTTAGAGCTTGAAATCCTTTTATGTTTTCATAACCATATTGTTCAAACTAAGATGATTGATGTAAAAGTTTTCTAATGCTTGAATTGCAATTTTCGATGACATATGAGGTGAAGCTTTGCTTATTTTTATTGGGATGCAACCCTATCGAATTATTTTCTTTTACTTTTAGTACAAAGAAGTCACAATCACTCTTGTCTATCATATTTTAAATGGGTGCGGTTTGTATTGGGCCTAAGCTCTAAGGAATCAAATTAGAGCCTACCTTCATAAATGTGGTTTCAATACTGGAAATCTTTTTGATAGCCTTAAAATATATTTTCATCTTTATTTATAAAGTTTAAAGCTTAAAAAATAGTGTAGATTGAGAGACCTATAAAAACTTGAAAATCTTTAAAATTGACGGTCCAAAAATGTGTTATAAAAGACACTATTTCCAAAACTTGAAATCTATTTTTTTTCTCATGTCCATGCATCTTGATGTCGAGATGATCAATTTGAAGATATTTGGGCAACAAAATAACCTTTTCTAGTGAAATAGTTTAGGTAGGTTCGAATTTGATTGTTTAGACCCTCAGCTCCAAATAAACTTTTTCCATTTTAAATTGGGTGGTTACGAGTATGTCATTGACTAGACTCAAATTTCAAAATTTTCAAAATAAAAAAAAAAATTTCTCAGACTTTGGGATATACGCCAAGCCATCTTATTTGATATCTAATAGCTAGGAGTGATTGTGATAATAATAATAGTAAATAGTATCTTATTATACAATCTATTGAAAAATTTACATGCCAAGGAGTAACGGAGAACTCTAATTTTGTGTTATTAAAACTCTTGTGAAAACTTTTGAAGTGCATGGATATTTGGTAAGGTTGAGAATTTACCTAGTTTGGATCCGAAACCCAAATTCGAATTCTATTTCAATACGGTTATGGAACTGGATTTGGATCTAACAGATGGGATCCAGATCCAAAATTTGGATCCAAATAGTAATTCGGATCGCATCCAGACATAGGTGGATCTAATCTAGATCCGACCCAATTATTAATATATTATATATTACAGTATATACGCGTATATGTTATATAACATTTTTTGTAAAAAATTATTTTATAGATATAAAATAATATATAAAAAATAGTTTTAGATCCGATCAGGCCCGAATCCAAATTTAGATCCTATGTGTACTTTTTAGATTTGGATTCGGATCCGGATCCTTTGCATACTTTTCGAATCCAAAATCCTGATCCTGGTAGATCCAAACCAAATCCGACCCATTCTCAATTCTAATATTTTCCACGCTTCAAAGATATCAACTTTTAACTTACGTGATTCCCATGAGTTTACATGAGTTTGGGTAAAGTTCCAATTTTTTTTAAGTTATTTCCTTCTGGAGAGCACGGCAGCGTCTCTATCTCATATAAAGGTTGGCCGGTACTCTATGATTGAACTGGAATAGGTAAAGGGCAATCCTCTTATGCGGCCCCCACCAACGTACAAATATGAATATTTGATGTTTTAGTCGTTTGATCTAAATGGATGGTAGGGATGATTTTAATCGTATTGTTACAAGGTCGTTGATAATATCTAATTTTGATTGGAAGGTTCAGAGTATATATCATACGTTATGCCCACCTCTCATAGGGGCACATCCACTAAAAATATGACGAATATGTTTCTAATGAAAATAATTTGTATTAGGTATAGACATTGTCACTAAAGTTATCCCCGCGGTCCATTCAGATAGGACGGCTTTGAACAATAGCCACCTATGTTTCACATATAGCTAACCCCACATAGACATGTTTCCCTAGTTATAGAATACATATAGCAAAAGCAACTTATAGGCATGCTTCTTTAGGCCAAATACCTACTTAGGAGCATTCTTTTTTAATAAATCTTGACATCCACTATAAAATGACCAATATGAACATCCATATAATCTTTTGGAAGCTATAAGAGAATGCTATTCAAGACATAAAAATCTAAAATACCAAAAAAAAATCTAAAATACAAAAACAAGAAACGAGAGTGTGGCATTTCATGGAAACAACAATACCTGACTGACATAGTAGTAGAAATTAAAGTCCTCAGCCATGGCTTGTAAGCCCATCCCAAGCCCAACCAAAGCAAGCAACAACCATTGCTCATGAGCCATAATTGTGCACCTCAAAGACTACAAGGGGTAACTATCAAAATATTTAGACACACCATCCACTGGAATTTGAGCCCTATTTATAGGCCAACCTTGGGTGCCAAAAGTAACGGCGACAATGAAATGAGAACTAAACAAAAATAATTCAAATATTATATGGTAAATTTTTGGATTTTTTTTTTCTCTTTTAGTAGTTAAAATTGGATAGATAAGATTCCTTCCACTGACCTATTTAACAAAGGGAAAAGTTTACATAAGGTTGCAACCTTAAAATGTAGAATTACATATACACTAAAAAATCTATCGGAATGGTTGTTTTAATGTTAAAAAACCCTCTATTTGATCATTTCGACATCAAGATGTATGAATAGAAAAAAAAAAAATGTTTTTGAGTCTCAAAAATTGTGCATCTTGCAACACATTATCTAGGCCGTCCATTTTCAAGATTTTCATATATTTATATATCTCTTTGATTTTAACTATTTTTGGAGTTTAAAATTTTCTAATTAAATATGAAAATAGATTTTAAGATAATCCTAAGAATTTTTTACAATAAAATTATATGTTATGATAAAATTTGGAGGTGCGCTGATTGTTTAACCTTATAGGAACCGCACCCTTTAACAAAAGATATGGTGAAAAAATGGGGGACCGTCGACTTTCACGTGATTGTTGTGGCCTGGTAGGTAGCCAAGGAAAATGTTCTGATAAGGCTGCGGCTCTATCAACATAAGTAAAGCCTCACCTTAATACTCATAGAAAATTGCAATTTTGTTTCGAAAATCTTCACATAGATCATCTCAGCCTTGACTATTATGATTGTGAAAAATTAAGATTTCAAATCCTAGAACTATTGTATATTGTAACACATTATCTAGACCGTCTATTTCACCCTAAAAACAAGAATTCATGGATCCAATAGATCTATGTCATTTTTAAGCTTTAAATGTTATTATCGTCATTAAAAATTGATTTTAGAGCCATCATAGAGATTTCTAATGCTCAAAATACTTTTTGAACAAGGATTGAGGTGAGGTTTTACTTTGTTTCTATAAAGCCTAAGCCTTATAGATGTGCTCTTTTCTTTTTTAGGGAAAAGCTCATATAAGATTG